ACTTGTAGGGTTTCAGGTTAACTGGTTGTGTTACATGCCACGAAGGAGCTCGAAAGTTGACCCACTCTCAACGTTATGGATGATGGAGGAAATGTTCATAGAAAGATCAAGTAGATTAATATTTGTTGACATTTCTCATCAGTTCTTTTATTGCGTCGGAGGTGATTTCTTACAACGTATATTTCTTTCTTATCATTGTGTGCTTCACATGTTTCTAAATCAGCGTTTATTGTAATAGACAAATATGGATTTGGAAGATTGCTTTTGAGGTGGGGTGCATGACTTTTAAGCACATGGTTGATACATTCAACTCATATCTCCAAGAATGTGATAGAAGTCAATGACAAAGTGCCAAGATAGAAACCATTCAAGAGTACAACTCGCACTAGGATGCAAGGGAAACCTGTGCTGAGGAAGGTGGAACATGATTTTAGGAAAAACTAATTGAGTAAATACGTAGTGACTTTAAAAATCATGGGTTCCACCTAAAATTTCTCTACTAAACTGTACTACACTAACGTCAGTAATAACATGTTTTCTTCTATGGACACAAGTATCTCTTACTATTCAAAGAAATCACTTTCACTTCAACAACAAAGGATTTTTGATAGAGCGTGGCAAAATAATTCTTTGATTCACAGTTTAACCACGATCTCTGTTACCTACTGTTAGAATCCCAATTCCTTAATAAGTTTTCACTCACCGATTCTCTCCCACTGTGACTTTGACTGAGTCCCCATAATAAACAAACATATAGTTTTTGTAAGAGTCTACCTTTCAAGTCAAAGCGTATGGGTCGACGCTGTAGAGCAATCGCATCGCCACAGTTCGGGTGCCCTCCGAGCCGAATGTGAATCGCCGAAGTCAAGCATTCCTAAAGAAAAGCACGAGACTTGCTGCTACTGATGGATTTGCATGTGGTAGTCTCCGACTGGATCTGAAGATTCTTCAGCTTTCACAACTGGATGGTCATCACGATCTGGGACGCCATCTTCAAACCCCCCACCTTGATCATTGATCCACAAGGAATTGAGTGACTCGAGGTACTGAATCTCCCGGAAGAATGCCGTTAAGTGTGGAACCTAGCAGCACGTTCATTAGCATTGTTGATTTCGATGCTCCCAAAACAGCGTCCATCTCCCATTCTCGCATGTTTATGTTACTCTAAAGTGATGGCAATCCATTTTTTTGTGCACTTCTGGAATTCCTAATAATGGCGAACACCGTCATTCTCTCCTCTTGAAAGACTCAATTTTTTTCTTGATATCACTTATTGAGCTAGTCACTGTTTGCATGTCCCTTGAGATATTTTTACACCACATTTGACCATGAAGTGCGGGTGGACGTTACAATTAGTTCAGTTAAGTGCAGTTAATGTTGGTTGTTCAAGAATGTTCACAAAACCTTAAAACCTGGTGCCTTTTTTTTGACGAAACCCACTTGGTGGAATGATTCTGTTAGGGCTGGCGGTTTTACTTCTCTGGTACCATATTGATGTATTTGGCTGTTTTATGTTATTTAGTGAGGTGTAGAAGCTGTTAATTTTAGGATGTATTATGTATATATTCTCTTTTTGAATTTCATACATATTATTTATTCTTATGTGAACTAGTTTTCTGTTTCTGGTAATTCAAACCAATGGGTAAAAGAATCTCTAAGAGTTATTTGGTTTTTAAAATATTGATTTTAAAGTTAATGCCAGTTTGACTATTGACCTCATGTCTACAGAACAATCACACAAAATATTATAATCAATATGATAGGGATGATTTTTTTTTTTTTTTTTTTTTTTTTTTTTTGATAAAATCACACCAATTTAAAAACTGTACGTGTAAGAGAAGAAAAAGCCACGTTTAATTTATTTATTTTGTATTCGTGAGATTTTTTATATCAAATCAATTTTATGTGAAAAATATATATGTATGTATACATGTGTATATATACATCTTATTTTATAATTTTGACATTATAATTATTTTTAATTATTACTAATAATAGTTAATTTTTTAAATATATATGTATTTCAAAATATCAAGTGGCAATTAATTTTTAATATATATATATATATATATATATGTATATTTTAGAAGTAGCTCCAAATTTTGTAAAGAACCAAGATGTTACTAGAGCTAGTAGAGTATGTGTATTTATATTGTGTGATGCAAATATTTTATTGCAAATGAAAATTTTGATGAGCAATGGAATGTTATAAACCGCATCCAAAGACATTCTAAGGGAACACTAGTATGTGATAATATTTACAAAACAAATATCAAGACAAACAAGTCATAGAAAAAATGATGGGATGTGGTACCTAAAATAAAACTTAGATTTTAAGATGAGATTGTAATATGACTGAAAATATTCAAGAGAAATTTCAAAATTATGAGAGAATTTTCAAAAAGGATGAAAAAAATGCACTGAATTTTTATGAGAAAATTTTATTTTAAAAAGTTTAATTTGTATCTTATAGACCTTTAGGAGAGTTTTTGATATCATCAGAGTGATGACATTTAAATCTTAACTAAAATTAGCTACTTTCAGGTAAAAAAACAATATAAGTTTTTTGAAAAAACCAGGTTATATTTATTTGAAAAAACAATATTGTCTAATTAGAATACTGTAAGTTAAATTCAAACTTCAACTTCAAAATTCTTTATTCTTAAAAATTAACTGATAAAAAGATATATATTATCTTACCATTCTAAATATTTTTATGTTCCAGTGTTTAAAAATGGGGACGTGGTTTAATATTGAAGATACTTTTAAAATAGACTTTAACAATTCACAAGTTTTTTAAAGTTTTCTACACATGTTAAATATTGTAAAGGATCAAGTATAAACTAAAAATAAAGATAGATTATAAAAGATGCACATACTATTTTTTTGATAAAATCTACTCTGCATAAGAGCCCAATTAGCATCAAAATATATCTAATCTAGAAATGAAAAAATATAAAAAAATAATAGAAGATCTCAAAGTATGCCTTAAAACATATAAAAAAGTGCATGGAAAAAATCTATCAAAAACTTAAAAAGACACTTTAAAACTCTTTGATGGATATGGCCCTTTAAATTCAATAAATTTTTGATATTAAAGTTTTTAGATAACATTTCTAAGAAATTAGAAGTTAGCATAAGTTATCTAATTTTTTAATCCAATATTATTTATTAATTTTTTAAAATTTTATAACACTTAGATTTTATTTTTATCAAATAAAAAATAGAAAGATTATATTTTAAAGGTTCTTAGATTATAATTATTTTTATTAAAATTTAAAAAATAAGTTTACATGGTACAAAAAGTGGGTAACATGATAGTTTTTTAGCATTATGATTTTTTTTATTTTTATTTTTATAAATATATATATATATATATATATATATATATATTAAATCTTATTTTTAATCTTAAAAGATATTATTAGTAATTATTACATAATTTAGTGTCTATATAAATAATCTTTACAAAGAAACTTAGAAGATGAATTCTTTAAAACATAATCACTTATTAGTATTTAATACAATAGAAAAAGTAAATAATAAAATCTGGAGTTTTATTTCAATTGGTTTAATTTTTGGTTAAAAGTGAGAGTTTATAAAAAGCAAAATATATTTATTGTATAGCTAATATAGTATTAAGTAGTGGTTGTTGGCATATAGAAGATATCACCTATTCTATATATATATATATATATATATATATATATTAAAAATAATTTGTATATTAAAAAATAAAATTATTTATTTATAGAATTTAAAAATATCTTCAAATATGACATATTTAAAACTAGGCCACATAGTTTTATAATAAATAAAAAATTAATTTTTAAATAGGCAAACCATAAAAAATATCTTTTTCCTCTGACAAATAATCTTTAATGATGAAATTCTATCACAAATCAATATTTTCCTAGTGAGATTTATTTACAAATTATTTAGACTTTAAAAAAATACATTTTTTTTTCTCAATAAGATATAGAATGACCAAAGAATTAAAAAACCACTTTTGGTCTAACTTTTCAAAATATAGCCACTTGTAAAAAATCACTTACAACAAAATGGAGAAAAAACCAAATAACTGCAAAACAATTTTCAACAAATGGAACAAATTATGTTAAACCAAAAACAGATTAAACTCAAGACTTGGCATGAAAATTTGTCAAATTCTACAGTTTCACAAAACAACTTAATAACCCGAGTTAGGTGAGAAATATTTGTTACTAATAAAATTATAGCAGAAAAAGTCACCTTTCTTCTAAGTCTATTCCACAAACATGGTATTTTCTCATCAAAACATTGTTTCTTGTTCACATTACAACTTCAAATGAACCTTGAAATCACAAACAATTGTATCAAACTAACAAAATAATACTTCAAAATATCAACCCATTATGTACACCCCCAGTATGTAATATATATATATATATATATACATACGTTAATACGACAACTATTCAAACTAAAAGACAAGGATTTATTGGCATACTCTGTCGAACTATGATGACCAATTCCTCCCCATGGTCCGCCTTCCATTTATCTGGATCTCTTCCAACTTCTTGTCCTGTGCGTCGGACAAGCTGGAATCATGGCTATGGGGACAAATCCCCGTTGCGATACCAGCGTCGCCCTCACGATGGAGTTGCAACTTACACTGGTCTCGTGGGTCGTTCGTCGAAGCACAGCGCAATCGGTACCGACACCTGAACCGGGAACCGTGACTGCAGGCGAAATTTGGGTTCGCAGTTTTTGTGTGGCACGTTTTGTTTTTGACAGATCCTGCACGCCCCTTCGCGACCATGTTGCAATCAGTCCAGCCGATCCACCGATGGGCTATATTCGGCACTGGTCCGAGATCAGACCAGCTTCAATGTGTGCCTTCACTCTCCCTCCCCGTCACTGTTCACGGCCCCGATGTGCCTGGTTTTGTCTTGTTGGAGTGATTTCTAACTTTATACCCTTTTGACTCGAGAGAACGTCGACTGCCATCCTGCTCTTGTACTGTACCCGACTACTGGACGGTCGAGAATTGATGGTAGGGACTGGGAAACGTGGCCTGAAGGATTGGGGGTGTTCTAAACTCAGACGGCGAGGAAATACTGTACCTTATTTTCACATCGGGGACCTGGGTGGAACTGGACCAGGTTGTTTGCTTTGCTTAGTTAGTTGCTTTCCTCGTGGATGTTGCCTCATAGGTGTCTCCAAAGGGAAAATCAATCTAATTCGGGCTAGCGCTCAATTGTGAATGAACAGTGTACGGCTGTAGGTGCTTTACGCCCCAATGGCATTTGCAGACACTACTACTACTACTACTGCTGCTGCTGCCTTTTCGTTGTCCGTTGGTTGTTGACACGCACACCTCTGTTGGCTGTTACACGAATTGATGCAAAGTCGCACCATGCGGTGTGTGGACCTATGCCTTGTTGTGGATTCAATTCCGTAACCGTGCGGAATCTGGGGAATCCCTCAAGTCCTTGTATGCTTTGACGTTTAGATCCGGCTCCGGAGGTTGCACAGGGATGCGGAGATTTCACAGGGCTGGCCGACACTTGGCAGTATTTAGGACTTGACAGATCCCAGAGTTTATGAGATGTGTGTGCGGCAAAATTACTAGACTTTTGGGAACGTTCAAGGGGGTTGGGATCTAGGAAGTCGACACAGACGCGGAATAAGTCGAGAGGATTGCTTGAGCATATTTCGTGAAGAAGTTCGGACGTTTTTAAGCTTCGGAATGTTGTCCGACACTTCGTGGCCGGAGTTTTACAACTTGTCATTGTATCAGAGGTTCATAGCAGGGGTCAGAGGGAGTAGGGAGAGTAATTCTTTGATCACACTGCGGATGGTCAACTTGTACATTGAAGTTTTGCAGTTTTAGTCGAATGCTCATACAGGTGATCACCGGACGTGGAGTAAGGTTTAATATTTTCGTAGCGAGAGAGAGCGCAGGAAACAGTCGACCAGTTGTAATGGACTCCTCTTTTGTGGACCCGGAAAAGGGCAGACTAACAGATGAGTCTCAGCTACGTACTTCCTGTAGAACTCAAGCGGATGCCCTGTTCCGCAAAAATCTTACATATCAGGTAATTGTTTTCGAGGTTCCAACGTCGAAGTGTTCATTCTCATGTCCATTGCACTTGTCTATGCCAAAGATCTTGACTGAAGGGCTACTCTTAGGACCTACATTTGAATTTTTATTTTAAGAAAGGCCAGAGTTCAATATGGCTTTCAAGTGGATTTCCAAGTAGTAACGGAGACCTTGAATATTTTCTCAACCTTGATTCTAGAATGATCGCACATGCATGTCTAGCGAAGTTATCAAGGTGATCCATTCTTGAAAAGAGCTGTGAGGAGAGTTTGATCCGATTTGTGCTTTGCAGAAACGGAACTGGAAAACAAATTGCTGCCTTATAATCTTTCCAGTTGCCCTCTGCATCACTCTCGTCGTGATGCAAGCAGTCATCAACACCTCCATCCGCGATCGCTTCAAGTGTGGCTGTAAAGATGTGCCCAATTCCAACGGCGTTGGCACAACCAGGAAGTGCGGAATCCAATACTCCGCCCCCGATGAAGCTCCGTTTTGTGGAATCGATAAACCACATCCATGGCCCGCCATGCTACAGGTTCCTAGACCGCAGTTCAGGGCCACTAAAAGCTCCTATTACCCAGATTTGACACAGGATGTGAACTGTAGAGCGGCTGGTACTTGTGCAGTGACAATCCCCTACACTGGAACTAATAAAACTACAGCTGATGGTAATAACTCGCACAAATTTTGATTCTCACGTTCCTCAGTGAATCAGACTGTCGCACAGTTACAGATCAGGTGGTGTCTGTTTTGATTCATGAACGGACGTTGTTGACTGCATCTAGTTGCGTTGTCCTGAATTCTTGATGTTGATTGTCTTAAGCCAATTTTGGTTGCAGCGATGGCGGAAGGACTTTTAGGTACTGGCACAGTGGATCCCTTTGACCAAAAGACGTACTCCCTCTCTGCTGTAGTACCGGTACAACTTCTCCGACTAATCCTTTTTAAATTTTTTTAATGATATTCTGAATATTCTGTGCTAGTAGAATGTATGCTCATTCTACTCTACTATGTGCATGGATCAAGGATGCGTGATTTTCGGCGGCTGTCATGGATTTTAACACCCGTTGCAAATGTTCTAGAATATTGCCTCCACAATCTGTACCCAGGGGATGTGAGTTTCCTTTTGGAGAGGTTACAGAATTAGGAGGCAATGCATTTTCTTCCCTACATTTACGAACAGTATTTGAAATTGTTGATCAAATTCTTGGCAGGGAACAGATGCCACTCCGGTCGGATCCCTTCTCTTCGAATCTGCATTCACTTATCCCACACCTATCTACATTCTTCGATCCAATTGTGAGAACTCGACGGACAACTTCTCTTTCACTACCACCACTCAAGGATTTAAGATCAATCGAGGTAAACACTCACTTTTGTTTTTGAGCTCCACTATAATTGTCTCTGCGATGTCCTTAGATTTCTGTGAAGTTCCAGAGGGATTTCCTTAGTCTGCAAAGATGTCAATGTGTAGTGGCGTTTTGTTTGTTCTGCTTCTCCTTGGCAAACTTGTGCTGAAAGACTTATACATGCAGATTTTAAATGCTTGGTATCAAGGTCTTTGTGGCGTGCCAATGCTTCCTCGGTGAACGAAATGCTCTATGCAGGCTACGTACGTGGCAACAAACGAAAGGAGATCAACGAAGTTCCAGTTGGTAATTTTACCTTGCTGAACTCGGTCCTAGAGTTCTTTCTAACGTTTTAACCCTATTTCGTAGTCTGCTCGGCAATGCTGCTTTTCAAAGTTGAATTGCAACATTCTAAGTGGCTGTATGAGGGAGTGATCATCACTAGCTTCGATTGTTAGCAACCGATAAGAATCTGCAATTACAGAGCTTGCTTGGAGCTAAGAGGCGTTTTTGGGTTATCTGTGTTGTGGCTGCAGCTTATGATTTCAGGAATACGACTACGGAGAGGTTTGATGTGATGGTATGGTACAATGAAACTTTAGCAAACCGAACTGGCTTTCGCCCTTCTTCACTCATTCGTGTATCTCGCTCTGTGAACATGGTGAGACTTCTTCTCAATCATGCCAATTCAGTGCTGTGAAATCGGCAGACCTGTGACCTTAATTCATGAATTGTAAGGCATTTTTCTGTTTTATGTCTATATCTGTTTTCGAAAAGTTCGAATTACGATTTGTCATGCATTTGGAGTTGAACAAATTGCGCCTGATCCCGTCTGCTGTGAAATTCTTAGGCATCACAAGCATTTTTGCGGCTCAAGTTGGGGCCAACGGCTGAACTTCCATTACTGTTCGTGAAAGACATGCCGAAAGGGGCCAAGCATTTGAGCCTAAACTTTTCGCTGATCATCGGGCCACTTTTCTACATGTGGATATTGGGCCTCTTGTTTCCCGTGAGCAAACATCACACGCCCTTTGACATTTACCGCTTCCATCTAAATTTCTTATTCACTCTCCTACTTCGTTAGTCCATCTTTGTTTCGGAACATTCTATTCCCAGGTGCAAGATCTCTGTTAACCAGAAGTTGTGTTCCGCACGTCGGAGTAGTGAACCATATTCTGATAAACCAATCGAGGCTGTTAGTAAATCCCAATATGCTTGGTGCATCAGGTGGTGCTCACCGCTATAGTATACGAGAAGCAGTATAATGTTCGGATGATGATGAAGATGCATGGCCTCGGCGATACAGCTTACTGGGTCATCACCTACTTGTATTATGTAGTTCTGTTCTGTCTTTATATGATCAGCTTCATCGTATTCAGCTCCCTTGTCAGTAAGTCATTCCTCTTCTGCATGTCATCTCATTTGTTTCTCAACACAATGCCCTAATTGTTTCTCGTATCGATCTTTGACCGGTGACCTTAAGAGCTCAAAAAACTACCCTGTATCGGAATATGAAGATATGTATATGTTATTTTTTGTCAAACGCGACTACCAACACATCTTGTTCGCCTGAAATGGACCCCACTACGTTTTTTTGCAGAGCTTTCTTTCGTCACGAAAAATTCGTACAGTTTACAAGCTGTGTTCTACTTCCTTTACATTAACATGATTATTTCGCTTGGTTTCGTCGCGTCCAATTTTTTTCGGAATGTCCGAACCGCGACAGGTCAGTTTGTCTATCAATCTTTTATCTCATTTTGAAGTTGCTTGACAGGCTCATAATGTTTCAAGAACATGAGTTGCATCTTCTTGAACAATTAGTTGCCGCTGTTCAATACCAGTGATTTCATTTCACTATTTTACTGAATGGTTGTTGAACAGCAGTTCTCACGTCTGTTGATTACGCCGGTCAGACGCATTACGTAATTAAAGACTAGAGAGGTACAGACTCCTGAATCTTATCATGTGGTGACGGTAACCTGCTCGCTCTTATGGCAGCCTTTGGATATTTATACGTGTTTGGAGCTGGACTACTAGGGGCTTTCATCTTCAAGAATTTCATTGTGAACCCAGCCACCGACAGTAAGTTTCCACATCTCTAGTTCCGTTCACAATTTAGCTCTCAAACTGATCTTTTATGCTCTAAGAATATCTTATGAATTGGATCTATAAAAGGTGATTACGGTTGTGTTGGAAGTCTTCTGTCCATTTGCGGTGGAAGAGTTGATCAGAAGAGATGAATCACTGAAAGCAGGCATCCTTTCGTTCTGGTTCTGGCAGGAAAAATAGTCACCGGATTGCAGCTCATTCCTGCTTTTGCAACGTACCGTGGTGTCTACGAGTTTGTAGAGTATTCAATCCTAGCAATTCATATGGTATCACCCGAACCAGCGATCTCAGAGGACTATTTGCTCGCTTCAAAGTTTCAGCTGTTGACGCACTGTTGCTTCGAGGCTGCATGGTTTGCGAACTGTAGCTTATGTTTGTCTCGGGTTGAGTGCAGAATTCGAAGGGGATGCAGTGGAGCAATCTCAAGGATGAGAATAACGGATTGCGAACTGTCATGCTCATCTTGCTCATTCAGTGGTTCGTCTTTATGCTCCTCAACTTCTACTTGGATGGGGTAGTAGCGTCTGCGAGCGGAATAAGTAAGCATCCCCTATTCTTCTTGAACTTCAGACGCAAAGGTAACAAAAATAAACTTGCTATCAGTTCAAGCTCCAACCTCACAAGCTTCCGCAAATTCTCTCGCAACTTCTCTGGCAGCTCAAGTGCTGTGGTGCACATGAGCTCTGAAGACAAGCTAGTTTCTGAACGACCAGATGTTGCCAGAGAGGTTAGGCTCATCTCCTTTTCGCATCACGTTCACAGAGAAACCCCAGACCTAAAATTCTTGAGTAACTGGAAGCTTCGAACCTTTTGCAATTAGAAGCACAGAGCATGAATATTTCTTAGTTATCGGATAGAGTTCATTCCAGGTTGTTTCAACTATCTCAGGAAGCTCATTAAACCTAAAACCTCATTTGCTTGGCATATGCGACAGAACGAACTGGCTAAGGATTTGGCTGCCAACCCCTGCAAGAAGTACCCAATAGTTTGCGACAATCTGCAGAGGGTGTATCCTGCCAGAGATGGTAACCCACCCAAGTATGCTGTGCGGGGATTCTCTTTAGCAGTTCCGCGGGGTGAATGCTTTGGAATCCTTGGGCCAAATGGAGCAGGAAAAACGAGCTCTATTAACATGGTATGCCCATCACCACTCATTCAAATATCTTCAGTCGTCCACATTCTATGCTTCAAATGATTAACCGTGTCATAGGCGAGAGATATGATGCACGAATCTGTTTCGTTGTGTAGGAATTTTAAAAACCATGTGGTGTGGTTGCAGATGATCGGATTTCTGAAGCCAACCGATGGCACTGCTTACATACATGGGATGGACATTGTCACAGATATGGATCGCATCTACTCTTGCATGGGCGTTTGCCCCCAACATGAGTAAGTCTCTTCCACTTCCCTATCTTTTAATCTCGTGGAAGCCTTGATTTTACAGTGATGGAAAAGCGCCGATTACGAATTCTTAATCAATTCATTCTGTGCAGTTTGCTTTGGGGATATTTAACCGGTCGGGAGCATCTTCTGTTTTACGGTCGACTGAAGAACTTGAAAGGGAGAGAACTCACTGATGTAAGTAAACTTATTTCTTGTTTCGAACTTCGTAATTCTCTTCCAGTGGATGCTTCGGCAGTGTTTGGGATGTTCGCAGATTGAATTCCTCCAATCTCCTGGGGATTTTCCTGAGTGTTATTTTACAGGCTTTGAGAACGGTGTATATCTGTTGGTTTGCCATGTGCAGGCTGTTGAAAAATCACTCAAGAGTGTTAATCTTTTCGACAAGGGAGTGGGTGATAAACAGTGTCGGATGTATTCTGGTGGGATGAAGAGGAGGCTGAGTGTTGCCATCTCTCTCATTGGGAATCCAAAAGTAAGCACATACTCTGCCAGCTTCAAAATTCAGACCTGGATTGTATGTGTATTCACTGCATACACAGAGTTATATTACATACGATGTCTAAAATGACTATTGAAAAGGAGTCTTCGGAAAATCTGAATGTAAACCGTCGAGTCCACAATCTCTAGCGCATTTAGAAATAATACATCAACCTCATACATCTGCTGTGCAACTTGTAGGTGGTGTATATGGACGAGCCCAGCACTGGCCTGGATCCAGAGTCTCGGAATAACCTCTGGAACGTGGTGAAGCAGTCCAAGCAAGACCGTGCCATCATCCTCACAAGTAAACCAGCTCTGTCCAATGTCATTCTTCAATCAGATTCTGTTATTTCCTGATGGTCTCAACCACGATTATCATTATCAGTATTGATTGAGTCGTGGGGTGGTTGACATTACAATGACACGACTGCAGCCCATTCCATGGAGGAGGCAGAAGCTTTGTGCGACCGGCTTGGGATTTTTGTAAACGGCGAGCTGCAATGTATAGGCAATGCTAAAGAGGTGATCATTTTCTTTTCTGCTCAAATTTTTCTGAATAATATATTGTAGCTGCAGTCAAATATATATATATATATATATATATATATATATTCAGCTGGCTAATGCAGAAGTAATCCCCAAATTGAAGCTCACAGAAGCAAATCGTTCCATGTACAGCTTACTGCCAGGTACGGATGCCTTTATGTCCTGACAATTACAACACCCCCAGAGGAGGAAGCTGAGGTGGTAGCATTGGCAAAGTCTCTATCCCCCAACGCCCATCAGATTTATGGCATCTCCGGCACCCAAAAGTTCGAGCTACCGAAGACGGACGTGAGAATTGCATCCGTTTTCTCTGCTATCGAAAAAGCGAAGAACCGCTTGCATATTCGAGCGTGGGGTCTAGCCGACATTACCTTGGAAGATGTTTTTATCAAGGTGGCTCGACAAAGTGGTGGAATGCAGCTTCAATAATTTCCACATCAAGAGTGCTACAACCCAAACGGTGTTTGTAGGACTGTACATGACCATATTGCATTCCACTCCAATTCCTGAGTTCATGTTCAATTGCTCAGTTATCTGTACAATACAACCCACATACAGTTTGCAGCTACAGCTTTTTGTATCGATTCTTTCTTTTGGGTAGTAAAACACGCCCTGCAAGTCTGCACCTTGCTTCATCCAATATCAGCATTGTGAACTACGCCTGTTGCATTGTGTCGGTGCATTGACTGATCCCCATCGATCTCGCTGTCTGAGTAATGGACCACGGTTGACTGCATTCATGTAACCACGTAACGGAATGGCTGAATCAGATCAGAAGATCAGTGGGTGTGCATTATGCATATTCAGTTTTGTTTACTTGTGTCGTTCATATACACTGTGTGTGTGTGTGTGTGTGTTTGCAGTCTAGGTTTTAGTGTCATTATATGCAGCCTTGTTAAGCATATGTGGGTTATGCATTCTCTCGTTCTGTGGAGTCTATCCAGTTATCAGATATCTCATGCAATTCTGAACTCCTGGTGCAAGTCATCCCATCTTCTTCTTTTGTTCATGTATGTGTATATATATATATATATATATATATGAAATTATAGATGAATACAGCGAAATGGAGACACAGAAATGAAAGCTGCTCTTTCTGCAAACACTGGAAATTTGCGGACATGCTTTAGTTTATGAATTTGTTGTCTCGTCAACACAGCACATCACTTTCACTTTGAAAAAGTTGAGATACTTAACAATTTTAACTTGGCTTTTAGAAGTGTTAAAACATAAGTAAGGTGCTTGTGACTTAGTATTGTATACATGATTCAAATTAATCTCTTTTCTGTTCTTGAAATTAATAAAAAAAAATCTTTTACATGATTTATTAAAAATATTTTCTAATTTTAAAGTGTTTATTATTATTATTATTATTATTATTATATACACACACAAGCACACATGCTTACAACTATTTAAATGTAAGAAAATTCTCAAATTTTTCTGAAGACTATTATTATTTTTGCCCTCTGCTTTTTTTATACTTTAGACCCAAAATTTGGTTTTATGTTTTATATTTTTTATTTATTATCATTATTACTATTATTTTGATGTTTTGATGAATAATATCTGTATAGATTGCTATTTGATTTCAATTAGCATTATAATACAATTTTTTCTTTTTATGATTCAATGTATTAATTTAGACTAAGAATTGCTTCATCAAAAGATTAAACTCTTAAGTTTTAGTAACTCAAGTTCAATAGTGTATATAGAAATTGCTAAGATTATATATTCTATATTTATTTTATAGTTTTAAATCTATATTTAAAGTTCCTAGCACAAATATTCCAAATCAACTTCTAAGAATTTTGATGAAAGTTAATTAATTAATTTATTTTTTATTTAGAATATTAATTAATAATTATTTATATCTTTTATATTACCTAGAATATTATAACCTACTTAATTCAATTAATCAATTTTATAGATTGCTATCATATTTTATCAAAAATTATTTAAGCCGGAATTTTAAGATTTGATTTTTTTTAAATCTAAAATATTTTAAAATAAAAAATAAAAATAGTATTTTTTTTTTTTTTTAATGTAGAGTACATAAAAATCATATAACATATCAAATAATAAAGCACATGTAGATTCTTTGCTATTAAGCTGTATTTAGTAAGTAAAGATAAAAAATTCTTTATAAACTAAAGAATGGATTCATAACCAATTAAAAAATGCATAATCTAATGTCCAAAATTTATGTTGATAAACATATTATCTATTTAGAATATTACAAGCATTGAATCAAATATGACATCTTGCATAACTATTTCATATTTTAAAATAATTTATTACTAAAGTATATTTTTTAAAAAATTCAACAATTATATTATGATAAATATTTTAATTTTTTTTTATTTATATTTAGATATTTTATAGAGATAAAAAAACATGATGTAGAAAAGCTTAAATTTAGCTAAAGATATATAATTTTTTTTAAAAAATTAACCTTCAATATAATTTATTTTAATTCTAATAGAAATTTTGGCCAAAATAAAAAATTATCTCTAATTATTTTTAAAAAATTACAATATGTTTCTATTAGTATTTCAATTATTTTAATAATTCTTTTTAATTCCTTTAAAAATATATTGAACACTTATGTAAAAAATATTATAAAAAATATGTAGTTTTTAGAATTTAAAAAAAATATTTAAAGAATTTTGATTACTTTAGATGTAACTTTCTATTGAAATTATTGGTAATGAGTATATTTTTAATTTAGTAATTAGATACATAATACTTTTGATAAAAAATGAAAAATTCGCAAACTATATCACTACTCAAAAAAATGAAAATAATTTGTAACACTTTATGCAAGAATACAAGAAAACTTATGTAAAAATAAAAATATAACATAAAGATAGTTAAGGTATTTATAAGAGTAAATTTGTGCTAAAAAATAAAATTTAGAACTACGATAGCAATGATATTTACTATAGCTTGTATTTAAGTGATGTATATACCAAAAAATAAATCTTATTATAATTTAGAAAATTTAGACTATATCAATGTATTTCTTAACAATTATAAAAACCTAAAAAATAAATGAATAATAAGAATAATAATAAAATATTATTTGACAACTTTATTAATTATCTCCAAAATTTTAGAGAAAATTATTTGATTATATGATTCTTACAATATAATCAAATAATTGTATTAACATGAATTCTTAAAATATAATTTTTATTTTTACAAAATAATTGTATTAACATGAATACAAATAATAATATTAGTGAAGTTTAAAAAATAAAAATAAAAAAGATTATAAAAATTTGATTTTTTTCTTAATTATAAAAAATATAGTCACTTTATTGTAATACCAAATAAGTAGTAAAAATAATGTGAAGCCTTTTTATAATTTAGTAGAAAAATATATTTAATTTAATTTATTTGTTACACTTATATGTTGAGATTTACTACAATTTAGAATAATTATTCAAAAATAAAAAGTTAAAATAAATATCTAATAGAAATAGAAAAAAATTGTAATAATTTACAGCTTAAAAGAGAAATAATTCTAAAATATAAAATATTTTAAATAATTAAATTATAATAAATTATAATAAATTTTTTATTAAAAAATGTTAAGCTAAGGTTAAAAAAAGGCAGATATTATCTAAAGCTACTACTATTTGGTATAGATAATTTTAAATTAAAAATAAAAAAATACATTGTACTAAGAATAATATAGATATATATATATATATATATATATATATATATATATATATAAAATGGAAAATTTAAAATTTGAAATTTAAAATTATATACAATAGATATATATATATATATATATACATAAAACGGAAAAAAGTTTAAAGTCTTCATAAGCAAGTTATATACTCTTTATATACTCATGAAGTTTTTAAAGTATAATACTATTGAAGTTGACTACAGCTTTATTTTAAGACTATACTTTTCCATATTTGAAATAATCCATACAAATACAAATTGTAATTAGACTTCGTTTACGTAATAGTCTTGTTATTCCGAAAATAACAAGGCACAATAAACTTATTCTTTGTTCAGTTCAGCTTTACTTTTTAAACTTTTTCTTTTCTTTTCTCTTCTTTCTCGCGAAGTTCCTCTCAAACTGTTTTACCGTCATCAGCAGAGGGAACGCGTAACAAAAATATCTCTCACGAAAAAGTTAACGAAGACCAATGCTCTCCCTGCAGCATCCCTCAAATCTTCAAAGCATGCCCGCGGGCTGCATGAATGCACGGTCCAATCGTGGGGGCCGCGGAATATCCCTACCCGCGGGCAGGTTAATATCTCGTCACCGCTCCGTGGAGAGCTTGGCTGAATGAGTTTCAAAATTGTCTCATCACCTTCGCAGTTGCAGAATTTCCACCTCCGAGATCGACACACTCACTCACACACTCACTCTCTGCGGACATGGCGATTCCTTCATTGAGCTTCGCCGGATGCTGTGCTTCTACAGCAACGCCGTCGCCTGTATTACGAACCACTGCTGCTGCCGCAACTCGCTGTGAACCGGTAGCTCAACTCTCTGCCTGCGGTGAAGCAGCTCCTTCATTAGGTGCTTTCCTCGACGTCGCACTCCTGTTTTTGTTTCTTTAGGTTCTGAATTGTAACTTTTTCGAGTGCAGAAAATTCGTTACTCTTTGATTACGTTGCGAATAGGAGAAGTAATAAGTTACTGGTGTATTGTTAGAAATTTTGTATTTCGTACACTGTGACAATGTTTGAATGCCAACTTCTCTCGACTTACGGTCCATGGCTGCATCCATGCGCGGACGCCTGTTGTAGTCGTTTTGTTGGTTTAGCTCTTTTGCGACTAGATTATATGAAGGTGAAGAGACGCGGTATCCACTTATTGCAAGAATCCTGTAATTCTTACATGACGTTGAGTTCGTCATAATCTTGAAGTTAGTGTATTGTTAGGACTGTACGTGACGCAAGGAGAATTTCTTCTTGAGACGAAGTACAATTCGTGTGGTTATAGGGAGTTTGTTGTAGGCCTTGGTCGATCAAATGCAGAGTGTTGGTTTGGGGAACGCGATTTTTTTCATGTTGTATGAACCAGATTGGTGTATGTGTACCCGTGGAACACTATGGCTTCCAGCAGAGTGGTCAATACTTGCATTTCTAAATTTGATCTTCTACTTATGACCGATGTGTACGGGGTCCAGATAGCATGTATGGCTCTTCTCGTGTCTGCGACTCCCAAGAGAGAAATCCTGTTGTAATATCATTTTTGTAGAAATAGGTCACTTATGAATTCGATATTCAATCGAGATGCAGCATCACGGTTCTATGGATCACGATTAACAGCCAAGTGCGATGGTGTGCTTTCGAAGAGAGTGAAGCGGACTGCAGGGAAAGTGCTCGCAATCGCAACTGTCGGCAAAGATGTAAAACAGTGAGTGTCTAACCCTCTGAATGAGAGGGCGGTTTGAACATGTTAACGATATGTCGAGAAGTAGCTTTGAAATTAATCTCATTGTTAGTAAATGATGCTAACTTTGGCCATGTAATTTTTCTACACAAGGTTTTGATTCATTGGTCGGTATAGTTCATTGTTGCCAGATATGCTATATCTTGATCTGCAGCACGCTAGTTATGTAAGAACTTGTAAAGATCCACTATCACGAAAATCAACTAGTTCAAGTGAAGACGACTTCCTCGAATAAGTACAGAGAGTATGCACATACAAGGTTAGGCGGATATATCATGTTATGATCATATGATCGCAGTGTTTGTCGAATTGCTGACGCTTAGCTACCTTGTTCAAACAGGTACAGTTTGCCGTCATGGGCTAATTTCGAGATGGGCTATTATCCGGTGTATTGGGAAACGGCAACAGGCCTACCTCCAACTTCTGTAAGACTTCTCAACAGTTTTATTTTGATGCCTGAACATTGTGTGTGTTGTGGTTCCACTTGTGGCTTAAAACGTTTTGGACGTATGGGATGAAAATGTGATTTGTCAAAGTTATTAATTGCTATTTTAAGGAGTCTTATTGTTGAGAACGGCAGGGACAATTGCTGACGATCATCTTTAATGCTGCTGCTAGCAACCTCGTACCCAATGAAAACTTCGGAATAGCATTTAATGGTAGAGCTTCGCAACTGATCTGATATCTCTGAAACATTTTTAGTCATCTATTTTTGATTGGTTTATAGTAGACGCATAAATGATGATTCACATTGGATTGCAGGAAGCTTCAATCAACCAATTATGTGTGGAGGTGAGCCCCGTGTTATGGCCAAAAAAGAACGAGGAAGCCTCTGCGAACCACTCTACTCTATCAAGATCAATGTGCCTCTTCATGGTGAGATTGAAGCTTCGTTTACTGTTATAAAGATAGATTTTTTAGTAGTAGTGTTTATTATGTGATGTTGATTATGCTCTGGAAGAAAAATGGCAGCAAAAACTCACAGAATTGTGAGAACTTGCCAAATTAGAACTTTGTTTAGGGGCAGTCAAACGAAGGTCTCACACATGGGTGATGCATACAGCAACGTCTTTGGAGTTCTCATTCACGGATGGATCGAATTGGGACGGCCCTTACAATTTAATTATGGATCTTCCTGACAAACTGAAGGGTTTGCCTCAAAGTTATTTTAATGAGGTGAGGCTCTTGACGATTAAAACCGTGGTAAACACTGATCCTGACAATGTTTATGAATTGTCGAATATGAATACAAGACTCACGGTCTGTACTCTCAATGTGTTAAACGTGTACCGATGCGTAGACATGGTCTTGAGCCAGACTGTATTATAATCAGTAGATAGTGAAGGTGCTTGCGTAAGGCTCTACTATGAGCAGTCCCAGCAGGAACCAGACACGTCTGTTTAGAGTGGTTGCAACTCTTCAAATTTTATGTACATATTAAAATGGATTCAACAATTTCGAGTTCTGTGACAAAAATCAGGAAGGGTTCGGTGAATAAATCGTGTTGTGAATTTTAATCGTGTGAAAGTAATTTTTCTTGTTTAGAGGCTTGGGAAGGATCTTGCCAAAGAAGGAGCATGTGACAGTGCAATCTACCCAGAAGTTGTTTTTACTCAGGATCGTTGCGCCTTCCCTGCTGGAATGATTCAAGAAGGGGTATGTGGATTCCTCAGTTTTTTTCTGTACAATTGTTGATTTCGACTTGCTTAACTCACTGCAGAACATCTACATAAACTCGGCTAACCCAGCAGTCCTAACCGCCCGAGTTATGCCCCCGTGCTAGAAAAGTCATAACTTGAACTCGTAACTTGTGCAGCTTTAACTGTCTTAATGAAGAAAATCGCCTATTTCCCATCCAAAAGCATTGCCCTTACAATCCTAATTTGTGCACTGTTCTAATTGCGCAGGGGGATCGTTGCGATCTGGATATTGTACCTGGTTGCACAGATCCGGAGTCACCATATTTTGATCCACTGGCAAATGTTGATGATGGATCTTGCCCACTCGAACTATAGGACTAATATATTCACATTTCCGGAAGTGATGGTTTAATCGGAAGCCTACACCTTGTAAATTATGGTTCTTTGCTGGTACCAAAACCGAAAATAGCGCTGCATGACTGTTAAGGAATATGCCGTTGCGCGCTAGAAATTCAATGCACTTCTGCTGCAAGGAATGTTTGTAGTGTAGCCACTGTAGGCTGTGTTCGGTTCAATAATTGAGTAAATATGAAATGTGATCGATCATAGAGTTGAATATTAACCAGATTCGCCAAAAAGATTTGGAGTGTGTTCAATTTATTTTATTCTTACATTTACAGGCTATGAGTTTCGTAAGTTACTCTCTTCATCAGCATCAGCAAAAACGTTGCGTGTCAGCTGCGGTGAAAAATTGTTTGTTTCCTTTTTTGGACAGACTAGTAAGGTTTATCTGATGCTGAACCAGTTTGGCAATACGTTGATAAGAGTTTACGATCGTTGCACGTTGCGCTAGGGCTGAGTCTAAGGTACGCAGGAAATAAGCTCTCGGCGGAGACGATTCTTTTAAAGATTGATCTTGATATGTGAAGGAATCTGCAACCGTGAGATCTCAATTAGCTCTTGAAGTGGGACGCCAGAATGCCATCGATGTAAGACGTTGACTCTCATCTTGGAAGTTGATACTACAAAATTTTATGAAGTAATGACGTTCACTTTTAGCACATCATCAGGTTTCATCAAGAGATGGTTTGATGAGTTTTTAAAGCATTGCTCCTTTCATCAGCAACATTATTAGAAGGTTTTAACAATGAGTTATTTCTGCCATCTAATACTCCACTCCCACATTTCTACACCACATTTCAACACTCTATTCTTGAACTTTTTTACTTTAATCTAGATTCATCCACCAAAGATAATTGCCTATGTCAGATTATTTTTACTATAAAATGTTAATTTTTTTGTATATTCTTGAAATGATTCTTACGGATGTATGAATATGAATATAAGATTAAAACCAATTCAACAAAGTAAATACAAAGCTATTATAAAAATTAATTGCATAATATGTTTCAAATTAACTTTGTACATATTTATCAAACATATTTGTCTTGATTTAGTTAAGTAGAAATAAATAGAAGTACGTAAAATTGATAATATTTTATATAAAAGTTTTTTGAAAGCTTTTAAGATGTAGATTTGACTTTATACATGTCTATACATGATTGGTAAGTTGAAAATTTTGCTAACAAGTTGGTCACATGTCACATATGTTAGTGACTTGTGGTACAACTTGGTTCTGTGATACATATGTAAGAAACTTGTTTTGCAAGTTAAACACATGTTGCTCAAGTTGGACATATATTAGAGGTTCTATAGAACATTGCTATGTAGCTCTTAGTTAGATAGTATATATAGAAGTAAAAGTGAAGCCTTCTTTATTCTTATCTATGCATTTCTTGTTCTTAATCTTGTTTCAAGAGTCTCTAGTCTTTTTGTTTTTGTTAATAGTTATTTTAGTTTTATTATTATATCATATTTGAATGATTTTCTATTCTTTTTTAGTAACATGCGAGTCTATTGATCATTTGGTTCTTTGTAATTTATGTCCTTGATAGTTTGATAAGAGCTCTAATTCATTGTCTTGTTTTGTTTGAAATTGAATGAATTATCCTATTTTTTTTTTGTTGTGCTTCAAAGATTATGGACTATCTGTCTTTAAAATAATTTTTTAAAATTAAATTAAATTAAATTTTAAAACCATAGTAGATTGTTCTTCTTTGGAGAAATTTTCATTTGATATTAAAAGTTAAAGATTATTTTCTTCTAATTTGATTTGCAGACTTTTAAAAGTTATTTGTAATAGAAATTAAAATAAATAAATTATAGATATTATATTTGGCAAAAGTAAGAATAGATTTGCAATCATTACAAATTTTTATAAGCTTATTAAGACTATTAGAGGTGGAAATATCATGTATTATCAATGTCAACTATAAAGATATTATTTCTATGCCTATAGAAGAAGTCAATAATAAGATTTAAAGCCTATGCTAAGAAATTGTGCAATTGAGAGAAGCAAGTAAATTAACTCCATAATTGAATTTGAGAAGTCTTCTTATTAGAAGTATGAAGGATACAAGAATTGGTATACTAAAGAAATTTAATGGAATAAGATCAATATTTTAAGGATTTCTATAATAAGTCAAGCTCTATCTAAGTTTTTATCTTTTATAATATTATAATAGATTTACTCAAATTAGATTCAAAGGTGCATTTTTATTTGAAAGTCATCTTTTTGTAGTTTGCACCTCTTATGGAGAAAAATTCATAACTCTTATATGATCTTAATTCATTCTTTTAAGTATTTATGGCCATATTTGAAAAAAGTAATGAAGAAAAGATAGTATAGACCAAATTCCTATCTTTACGATAAAGATCATAATCAACTACTATATATACTTTTTAATTCAAAAACCTTGCTTGTGATACAAATTGAAATAATAGAATCTTTATTAATCAATTTCAATAGATATTAAAAGATAATGTCAAAGATTAATCAAAGAAAATTTTAAAAGCAAATTCATTGAAATAATTTATTACTTAAGCCATTACATGTGATAATTGACTTTTTAAAAGATGCCAACAAAAAAAGATTTAGATAAAAAAAATCAAATCAATTCATAACAATAACTTCTAAGTTTTCATAAACTTATTTATCAAGCTTGGAACCTATGTAAATTTATATGGTAAATTTAAAATTTCTTACTAAACATGAAAAGACTTAATATTGTCAAAAATATTTATGCTTATATTATAAAGAACCTAAATATATTACTCCACATTCTCTAAAAAATTAATACAATCAAAAAAATGAAGAGTATGATTATAAAAGAGTACAATATGTCAAAAAATAAGTTTGTTTAATTATAATAAAGATTATGCAATTAAAATCTTATACAACACATAATAAAGGTCATATTTTTATCTTAAACTTAGCATTCTAAGTTAGTATTAAGATTATCTAGACATATTTGAGAAGAATAATAAAGGTAATCTTTTAAAGCATTGTCCTTACAATTGCTCAATCAATCTTCAAAAAAGAGATCAACTACCATTTAGATCAATCTATAGCTTATTTTAAAACAAATTAATTACACTTAAGGAGTATATTAATAAAAATTATAAAAAAAGACAAATCACTATAGATATATATGGATTATTAAAGATATAATAAAATCATTCTAAATAATATGTATTATCCATCTTTTATATTAAAACTTTTTCATCAATTAAATCAATCAAATACCTATATAAAAATAGATCTACAAAGAATATACAATCTAATATACATTTTAAAAAAATGAATGTAAGATTGCATTTTTAACCAAGTATAGATATTTTAAATATAACGTCATGTTTATAGGACTTTTAATTGCTCTAGTTGCTTTTAAACATCTAATAAATATTTTTTAAATAATTTAAAGATATTATTATCATTTTTTATTAAAAAAATATTTTATTCTTTTCTAAAAGTATAAAAATGTATCAACCTCATATTTCTTGAGTGTTACAAAAACTAAAAGATGTAAGATTACATCTTAAGATAGAAAAGTATATATTTTATACAATTCAAGTTGATTTTTTGGTATATATCATTTCTAATGTTGGCCTTATAATATATCTTCAAAAAATTCAAATTATTGTGGATTAAAAGATTTTAAGATTAATTACCTTGCTTCAACCTCAAGAAAAATAAAATTATCTAATATTTTTTAAAATATATCAATATCTTATAATCTTTATTAAGAATATTTATCAAATTTTTTAAGATCACTTATTAATTAAGAAAAGATAAATTTGAGTAAAATAAAAAAATAGAAGCAGCATTTGAAACTTTGAGGATAGCTTTTATTTTTACATTAATTTTGTATCTTTTTGAATTTTTTAAAGTAATTTTTATAAAAAAAATATATCAAACCTTTTTTTTGGATGCAATATTTTTTTAAATAGGAGTAAATAACAAAATTCACTTAGTAATTTTTTATTCTAGAATATTTTTAGCAATTAAAATCAATTACAAGATCTTTGATAATAAACTTCTTGTAATTGTGGATTCATTTTAAGAATGATGTTATTAATGTGGATATAAAAATTTGAGGCATACGTTGATGTAAAACGTGTCCCTTGTTGAAGGATTTGAATTTTAGTTGTTGAAGAACAAACTTTATCATGTTCACCAAATGCTTTTACAAATGCTACCAAAAATGCTTCAAAATTGTGCAATATAGAAAAATTCTTTTCAAATAATGGAACAAACTAAGATAAAGCTTGATCTGATAGTAAGGTTCTAATCAAACCAACATAAGATACTTCAGTAGAATATTCTTGAGGTTGAAGCAAGGTAATTAGTCATACTTGGTTTACAAAGCCACAAAGTTTTGAGCGGGTGTTATTAAACTGTTTTGGAAGGCTGATCCTTGGTTCTCTTGCTGTTATTATTATCAGACTATTATCTTAAGTGGATGCAACTTCCATGTTTGAAACAAACATAGACATTTGAGAATTTAGAACGTCTATTATAATTTGATGTGGTGGTTGAGGTGCTTCGGCTCCTTGACCATTATATATGATCATATATAGTTATTCATTCTACTTTAATAAAGTTTCTATCCTGATCCTCAATACTTCAAGAGCATTAATAATAGAATTTAACTTGATCTCTTTAGAGTTTGTCATATTGACTTTTCTACTTTTTGCCATAGAAAATTAGAGAAACACACACCTTCAAAGGAAAAAAAATCTGATCTATGATATAAAATAAAATAAAATAAAAAAAAATATTAAAAAAAAAAGAACAATATTAAACTAAGGAGGGATAATTTGCAATTTCTAGAATACTATAGTACTTCCAAGAAGAGAAGTAATTCACTCTCTGTCAAGAAAGATCAAGCTTATAATATTATTTTATATCAATCTCAACAAACTATTAAGGATAATATACAAGAGAAGGATTCAAGATCAAGAAATAGAATTAACTTGACATTAGAACAACAATGACCTTCTAAAATTTTCTTAGAATCTATTGAAACAAAGCATGAGGTCCTGACTAGACCACAAGAAATGAGTTGTCAAGATTGAGGAACTCCTCAGCCTTGACTTCTATATATACTAGCTCATAGGAAGCTTCTTGAGAAGTCTATATGAAGCTTGGAAACAAAGCAAGCCTAAGATCCTTCTTCGACAACTTCCTAAATCATCCAAAGCTTCCTAGAACCTTCTAGGATCTCCTATGACCTTTTAGAATTTTCTTAGAATCTATTGAAACCTTTTAGAACCTTCTTAGAATCCATTGGAAC